GACTTCAGTTTCCCCATCTGTGAAATTATAGTGTCTACTTTATACCATTTGTAGTGATGATGAACTGAATTCATAAGTGTCAAGCATACAGAACAGCGCCCAGTGTGAAGTAAGCACTATATATTTGTTAAGTAAATAAATGAACCCCATTGGATGGCATTTAATCTGCCCATTTTGCAGGTGAGGAAACCAAGACTCAGAGATGTGTGTGGCGGCCTTGCCTAAGGTCGTACACCTAAGAGCACATCTAAGAGTGACAGATGGAGGGATTCAAACCTGCTTTCCTTCCCAACCTCTGTCCTTTCCCACTGTGCCACTTTGCTGGGGTGGCCAAGAGGGACATCTTTTGGAGCATTCCTCAGGACCGTGGAGACATACCAGTCTTGTTTGACCAGATTTCCCTTGGCTCAGCTTGAAGAGAGGCCGACGCTTGCCTAGATGTTGTACGAATTTGCCCTTGCAAGAATGTGGATGGGAGAACCCCAGTGGAGGCTGAGAGACCTAGAGAGACCAGGGGACCCTGCATCTGATGGGCCGTAACCCCTGTTGCTTTGCTTCCAGCCAAGTCATTCTGCTTCTCTGACCCTGAGGCAGAGAGAAGGTCACAGGCTTGAAGACAGGGGCCCCAGGTTCAAATGTGAGCTTGCTGTTCTTCCTATCTGTGGGATCTGGAGGAAGTTGCTTAACCTCTCTGAGCCTCAGTTTGCTTGTCAGTAAAATGGGTGTTTGGAGGGGGAGGGGGCGGTATTCGTGAGATGATCTTTGGAGATACCTTGCCCACAGCTCCGTGATTGCTACTTCTCTCCCCGATTAGGACAGAGTCACTTCTTCACATCCAGCGCCTGGCTTCCTCATTCATTTCTTCTTCGGATATTTATTGGGTACTTGTGTGCCAGGCAAGGTGCCAGGTGCTACTGATAGAGCACTGGACAAAGTCCTTGCTCTCCTGGAGTTTGACTTCTAGTTCTGAAAACAGGCAGTACACAAACAAACATACACAGATCTATGCTCCTTATCTAACACTGGAAATCCGCAAGCTCTGAAAACCGGAAGCATTCTCATCACTCAAGTGGAAGCAAGACCTGACATGAACTAACCGCGACGCTCTTTGGAGGCTTTATTTATTCCCCTTGGTGTGAAGGCTCGTGTGTCTTGCTGCAGAGATGTTCATGTGATTGATCACAGTGTGCTCCTCGGGCCCCATGGGGGGCAGGGGTAGTTTTGATGGGTGGTATTTTATACAAGATGACCTTTCTCTAATCTGAGTAATTCTGAATTCGGAAACACACCTGGCCCCCAGGATCTCACACAGGATGACAGGCACCTACAGTATCGTGTCACATAGTGACAGTGCTTGGAAGCAGTGTGGGGGTGGAGTCGGGGGAGCCTCTCTGAGGAGGGACATTTAGAAGGACAAGGGGCAGAGACCCTGGAGGAGCGGGCCAGGTGGAGGGAACCAGAGAGGATGCTAGAAAAGGTCTCGTCCGCCCGACCGGCCCCATTTCCGGGCCTGCTGCTTGCCCCCGCTCTGCATGCACAGTTCTGTCTAAATGCACACATCTTCGCCTTTCCAAGAAGCGGTGATGCCTCTGAGGTTTCGGGTTTGCCTCCGACTGACTCATTTTCATTCTTGGGGCCCCCTTGGGACTCCTCATCTTCTCGACGTCACTTAAGAAATCCAAGTCTTCACCAAAGCAGGCCTGGGAGCTGCGACTGTCTGGGGATGCTCACCATCTGGGCTGGCATCTGAGTCCCCCCTCCCCCTCCCTCCAGAGAGAGAGGGAGGAGGTGGGTCCGGGCGAGGGGAGGAGAAGCTTGGCCCTCGAGGGTTTGGTGGAGCAGCTTTCCTGAGAGGGAGGAGGTGTTCTAAGCAATAGAACTGTGAAGGGACTAACAGCCTCCGGCCTGCAGAGCCAGTTTGCAAGGCTGAAAGTGACAGGCACGCACATGTGTTGAGTGCCAGCATGGGGCTCGCTGCTTATACTCAACTCAGCAAGCGTGCTGGGGCTGGGGACACAGCAGTGACTGATGCAGCAACAAGGGCCCTCGTGGAGCTGACCGTCTAGTGGTGGAGGTGACTTTTTTTTGCGGTACGCGGGCCTCTCACTGTTGTGGCCTCTCCCGTTGTGGAGCACAGGCTCCGGACGCGCAGGCTCAGCGGTCATGGCTCACGGGCCCAGCCGCTCGGCGGCATGTGGGATCTTCCCGGACCGGGGCACGAACCCGTGTCCCCTGCATCGGCAGGCGGACTCTCAACCACTGCGCCACCAGGGAAGCCCTGGAGGTGACTTTTCAGCTAAGACCTGACATAGACACGTGGATATCTGGGGAAAGAGTGATCCCAGCAGAAGGAACAGCAAGTGCAAAGGCCCTGAGGTGTGTTTGACTCACAGCAAGGAAGCTGATGTGGTTGGCTGGAGTTGAAGCAAGTTGAAGAGGCCTGGGGAGAGAGGTCAGGCAGGCCAATAGCAGCCAGAGGCCTGCATTGTCTCACTCAACTTGTACAGTAACTCTACGAGGTAGGAGCTGCTCACCTCCCATCGATCTGCCCAGCAGCCCTGTGCACGTGGTCAGGCCAGGGCCGACGTCACAGGTGATCCGATCATTGCCCAGATCATTTTACAGATTATTTTACCGATGAGCATCTTCCCAGCATGGCAGACACCCTAAAGCAGAGGGGGCGTGGTGGGGCTGAGGGTCGTGGAGGCAGGTAGATGCGTGGGTGCCTCCCCAGTTCCCTGGGGAGGAAACTGAGGCTCAGGGAAGAGACTTACTCGGTGATACAACTTGGAAGGGGCAGAATCTGGATTCAAATCCAGGGCTGGAAGCCTGTACATTTAACTACTATTCTGAGCCATCCAGCCCAAGGAGCAGAGTTTAAAAGAAGTAGGTTTCTAGGTTAGAAATAAGGGAGCACAGTCACCAAGAGCTGTTTTGGTGAACTGCGGAAGGCCTGAGGGTTTCCTGAAGCAGCCAAGAGAGTGTTTTGTCTTTTTAAGAGGAACTTCTCCAGAGAGGAGGGACGCCAGATCTCTGCGGGGGCAGCCCTCCAAGCCCGCAGACCCTCAGCTTCCCAACAGTCTTGCTTATGGGGAGTAGGCCTTCTAGAAACCAGATTCTACTGTTGGACAGCTCTAACTGGGAGAATATCTTTCCTGGGATTTAGCTAAATTAGCTTTCCAGGAACTTTTGTTTTCTGGCTTTGGTTCTACCCCTTGGAGGTAGTAAGCATCCTCTTCCATCCCAGCGCAGTGATTCTCTTATTCAGATGACACAGCCATAATTCATTCAGTCATTCTTCCTCTTCAGTCTGGCTTTGGGCATGATCTAATTGGTCAGAGTCCCACATAGAAACCATTGCCTCCCCCAAAGCCTGCCCAGTCAGAGAGGAGGGAGACTGTCACCTCCTTGGATCTGGAGCACATACCTCTGTTGATACCACCTGCAATCATACTTTGTAGTGGCCACACCCCAGTTGGGGCTGGTATTGAACTTGTCAGCTAAACCCTCCAGTTCTCTCGTCTACAAGAGCTGCTGTCAATTAAGGTTTCTTCCATTCTGAGGTTCCTTGTTTGAGGCTAACAGTCATTCTCAGTCTTTCTTGTTTTCTAGTAAATCAACTGCAAGCTATAATTTTTCTCTGAGTACTGCTATGGCTTCATTCCACAGGTCTTGTTACACAGTGTCATTCACTGCTAACTATTATAGTTTATAATTTCCCTTTTGATTAAAAGTGTTATGTGCGTTATAATTTTTTTAAGGTAGATGGAATTTTTTAAGTTATTTTTTGATTGTTGATTTCTGAATGTATTGCATAATGGTCAATATTTGTAGACTCTATGATATCAGTGATGGAGAATTTGTCGAGATCGTCTTTGTAGGATTTTCTGGTCCATTTTTTTTCTGTTTGTTCCTCTTGTATTTGAAAGGATGTGTGTTTTTGTTGGGTTAAAGTTCTAGAAATATATTTTGTTCACGCTTACTAATTATATCATTTATATTTTCTCTGTTTTTATGTAGTTTTCTCTACCTGATATATCTCCCACTATGATAGAGGATCTGTTCATTTTTCTCTGGCCTTCTCTCAGTTTTTTGCTTCGTTTTTGTAGGTATGTTGTTAGGTGCTTATAAACAATATACAATATGAATAGAAGAGGGTTCATGATTTTTATACCTTCTTGGTGAGCTGCTCCTTTTATCAGTATAAAACAGCTACCTTTCTTTTAATACTTTGATGCCTTAAATTCCATTTTATTCAGTATTAATATTCGTATACCTGTTATCTTTATTTGCATTTTTCCTGACTAATTTTCCAATTCTTTATTTTCTTTTCTGCCCCTCTAACGTCGAAGGACTTTTCTTTGACCCCAGTCTGGTAGCCGCATGAGTTTAAAAAAAAAACAAAAAAGAAACTTGCATTTTAGTCTCAGCTCTGCAACCCACTTGCTCAGTGATCTTGGGCAAGTCATTTTCCCTCTTTGGGCCTCAATTTCCTAAACCGTAACATGGGGATATGACTCGCTTTGCCCCTCTTTAGGGTTTTTGTGAAAATAACAACACATAGTGAATATGAAAGGCATTGTAAACATCCCTGTACTCATATTAGTCGTTGGGTGTAAACACTGGCCAGCATTCTAGGTAGCGAGAATGGCATGTACAAAGGCCTGGAGGAAGGAACACATCCACAATGAGGCAGCCAACGACTTCAGTTTCACCATCATTGGTTGGCTGCCTCTGCGTTCGCAAGGAGACGTGCATGAGACACAGTCCCTGGCCTGGAGGACTTTCAGTCTGGAAATGGAGCAAAATGATGCGCACGGCTCACTCTTTATGAGAATGGAACTGATGTTTGGACAGAGGGACAGGCAGAGCTGGGAGGTGGGGGGAGGAAAGAGTAGCGTTTGATCAGGAACATCCTGAGAGGGTGGCGTAGGAGGAGGGCACTGAGAGGCAGAGGAAACAGCCCAAGGGAAGTGGGGAGTCTGTGGCTCATATGGGGAGGGTGGGGCAGGGCTGGGGGGGTGTAAGGACTGCTCTTTGATCCCCTCGTCCGCACCCCCTGAGGAGGAAAGCAATGGGGCTTTTGCAAAATTTTGGAACTCCTCACTGACAAATGATACTGCTCAGCCACAGGAGGGCAGGTGGTGATGGCGTGTCTCCAGCCTTGCTCCCTCTCATCACCATAACAACCGTATCCCACGGGGACAGAAGGAAGGAACGTTTGGGGGTGCCAGAGCTTAGGGAAGGTGCCGGGGAGGGGTCTCACCTGTTGCTTCTTTCCTCTCATTGGGGGTCTTCTGGTGTCTCAGGACACCCACTTACCCAGGAGGACATCACCTGGTGGTTGTAAGCCACAGAGGGACCACAAATGTGGGGTGTGGTTTTTAAAAATTGAGCATTTAAAAACCAGGGTAATATACATACAAATCTGGGTTTCTAGCTTCTTGTGAAAAATCGAGCACCCTAGTGACCCCTAGGTCTTCATTTACATGGTGCAAAGCAGAGTGGCGGGTGCCTGTTAGGACTGGACATGTGCTCGCCACCTGCCCTCTCTCTACTCACTGAGGTCATGCATCTGCATTCTCTTAGATATTTGGTTGCCGTTGGGGGAGATGACCCTCCGTGGCCGTGAGAGGTGGCTGGGAGCTGGGAACTGCCCCCGGAGGGAGTGAGCGCCCCATTGCTGGAAGCAGGCAACTAGAGGGTTGATGGCCCCGTGGCAAAGGCCTAGGGGAACTTGAAGTGTTAGCTGACTTGGACTCCGGGGTCTTTGGGGATCCACCAGCTCTGAGAACTGGCTGTTCTGAGACCTGCGATGACAAACCCCAGTAGCCTCGTGCACCCTCTGCTCTATTCCCTTCCCTCTCACCCATCGTATTTTTCTTTTTCTTTTTATTGCAATGTGCATGCAGACAAGTGCCCGGCTTCACAAAGTAAACACAAGCGTGTATAACCTGATCAGGAAACAAAGCATGACTCGCCCCCCAGAAGATTCTCTCCCGCCCCACCCTCCCCAGGACACTTTCCTGACCACTAACCCCAAGATTGGTTTGTGTCCTTTTGGACTTCATATAAATGGAATGAGTATTGCCCTTTCAAGCCCAGCTTCCTATACTCAGCTTGTACTCTGAGACCCTTCTGTGCTGTCATGGCAGCTGTCATGTACTCAGGGTCTGTACTTGGCGTTTGGAGATGAGCTTTTGCTGCCTGCTCCATCAGCACTGCCCTAAGGCTCTTCTACCCAGCTATGCCAGCCATGGTCTCTTTGCCTCCCCTCAACCGCCCCAGGAGGCAAGTGGTTCAGCTCTCATTTCACAGATAAGGAGACCGAGGCTCTGAGAGGACCACAGTGTGCCAAGGTCTCCCAGCCAGTCAGTGCAGAGTCCACACGCTTAGGTTCAGAGTTATGCTTCCGCATCTTAGATGCTCTGGGGTCCCTGCCCATGTGGGTGTCCCCACACATCTGTGTGTCCCTGACCGTGCCAAGAATTATAAAGGATGAGACAACAGAAAGAACTCGAGGGACAGCCCCATCCCAACCCCCGCCTGTCTGCAGACAGACCATGAACAGGGAGCTCTTATCTGTGCTGACTGCTTTGTGTTTGCCCAGGGACAAAAGTCCTGGTCCCTGTTGAGACATGCTCCCTGTGAGGACTGGGCAAACAGTGGTCGGTGGTGGAGGCCAAGTTCTAGTTCATCACTTCCTGCCTCGTTACCTTGGGACTATTTCTGAATTCCCCTGAGCATCAGTTTCCTCCTCTGTGCAGGTAATGTTTAACCACATCTTCCACACGGGGCTTGCTGGGAGGAGCAAACAGAGAGGTGCATAAAAGGAGTGAATTTACGGCTGCTTCCTCCATGCCAGGTGCTGTACTGTGACTCCAGAACCAAAAGATCTGGGTTCAATTCCCAGGCCCACCTCTTACTAGCTGTGCATCCTTAGGCAGGTTCCTGGACCTCTCTGGGCCTCAGTTTCCCCATGTCTACAAAGGGAATGATAATAATTGCACCTTCCATGTTCCTCAGTTGGGGAAGGGTGGAACCTATGGGCAGAAGGGCCCAGGGCATGGTCTCTAAAGACTCAAGGAATTGGGGGCAATCATGGTGACTTCTGGTGACCTCAGTAAGAAGGCAAACTGGGAGCCGTGACTGTCACTAAGACAGCCAAACTCTAATCAGCATCTTGGGGCCGAGACGTCTTGAATCTGTGCATCAGGGCAATGAGCAGTAATCAGGGTAACGCCCCAATTACCAGCTCTCTGGAGATCAGCTCCCCCCTCCCCTCTTGGGGTGGCCAAGATCGGTGTGGTGCCTGCCTTGGGGTATATAAGGAGACTCTGAGCCAGAATTGGTCAGTGTTTATCCAGCAGTAAGAGGCAGAAAATGCCAGCTCTGGGAGCTGTATCCCTGCCTCCATCAGGGATGGCTGGCCAGGCCGCACTGCACACAGCCAGGGGGAGTGCGTGCATTTATTCTTCCATTCAGCAAATATCTATGGACCCCCTCCCCCGCTACTGTGTGCCAGGCACTGTGCTAGGCTGTAGGGCTATAGCAGTGAACAGGGTGGGCACAGCCTGTAGGAGCTGGTGTTCTCTGGGGGATTTGGACTGTGCACAGGACACATGCGTGTGTGATAGGCAGTGAGGAATAAGTGCCAGGAATAGAAATAAAGCAGAAGGGCTTGCAGAGTGATGGAGGCTGTGGCCGCTGGTCCTGAGCCGTGGCGTCTGCACTCAGGTCCTCAGGCGCAGCCTCCTCCCTGGGGGCACTGGTACCTTCTGAGGATGGGCGTGGCTTCCAGGATCCTAGATGGAGTCACCTGGCTGCCCCTCCCGTGGACATTTGGACTTAATGTGTCCGCAGCCAACGTGAGCGTCCACATTGCCATAAGGTGGCTGTTAGCACAGGATGCCAGCCTGTCCCGGAGATGGTGCACCCCCTTGGGGCTCTGGCCCAGCCGAATCCCACGAAGGAGGTTCACGGTCTCCAGCCCCCTCCCTCCCCTCTCAGACAAGGCTGTGTCTCTCACTCTGCAAGCTCCCGTGGGCTTCAGCCACAGCTGATGACCTGCAAACCGGTCTCTAGCGTGAGCCTTCCTTCTGAGCTCCAGGCCGCTAGGACATACTGCCTCCTGGATGCCTCTTGGGGCCCATCGCCTACTTGGACTCACCAGGTCCACAGTATGGTGAAGTGCATGGTCTTCCACAGCAAGACCGTGCCTCTTCCCGGCACCTGCCACTGTCCATCCGCCCGTGCTCCAGCCCAAGGCCACCTCCCTGCTCCCAGCTCCTAGCCACCAGTCATCACCAAGTTCTGCCACGTCTACCTCCCAAACAGAGCTAGAGCCTGGCTTCTCTTCTGCAGCTCGAGCGGCACCGCCTCTTCTGTCAGCTACTCCTGCACTCGTTCTCCACACGCAGGTCGGAGTGGGCTTTCTGGAAAGCAGCTCCTCTCCTGCCCAATAGCCTTCAGTGGCTCCCTACTGCCCTGAGGAAGGAGTCTGAATCGCTTACCACCCCTGTTAGACAGTGTTGTCTTCCGGCCCTTCTGACTGCACTGCTCTCATCCCCTGTGACCCCTACCCCTCACTGCAGCCAAGGGCCTGTCTTGTAGGATGGGAAATGGGCCCATCCTCCAGTAGCTTCTCTCCTCGCTCAAATATTTGTTAAGGGAAAGAAGGAAAAAAGGCACGACTGAATGAATGAATGGCCTTTTTCACATCTGTAGTAGCTGGCACACAGTAGGTGCTGAGAAAACACCTGCAGCAAGAATACATGGGGCCCAAGCGAGGGGGTGAGGACCCGAAGCACACAGTAGGCGCGGGGGGAGCCTGGTGGGCTCTTTGGCTGAGGTGTCTGGTTCTTGCTGCTGCCAGCAGCAGAAGCAGCCTGCTGCCGCCCCTCCCCTCCACTCTCTGGGCTGGGGGTGGGGCAGGCAGGCAGAGCCCAGGCCATTTTGGGGCCCTGACCAGACTTCCTCACCATCCTGGGTGGGGCTGGTGACGTGGCTTTCGCTTCTGGGAACCCTAGCTGGACAGCAGTTCTGGGAAGGCTGCTGACCCGGGGAGAAGTGTATCCCTACCCCCCCTGCCAGACCAGCTCAGCAGACACTTCAGGCCAGCGTAAGATTGTGGAGTTTCAGGGGTCAGCGGCTCCGGAGGGAGGTCACCCGCAGCGCCTGCTGTCCCAGGCTTCCTATCCACATGCCTCTTGTCACAGGACCGGCTGCATCCTGTCTGCTGATCCAGCCTCCCACCCCTTCCACGTCGGTTTGCAGCCAAGAGAGGGGAGAGGACCCGGAGGCCTGCACACCCTACTGGCTTTAGGAAGAGCCCCGCTGGGTCGCTTCTGTGCTGCTGCTGGCTTCTGACATTTCAAGACTCGCCACTCATCTCCCCCCAAATAAAAAGAGTGAGTTAAGTGTGTTTCCCGGTCAGCAGGAGTGTTTTCCCACTCTGTCTGCTTCTGCTCTTTTCTTGGTCAGGCTTTCACCCACTCTGCTGCTTCCTAACTCCATGAACTTGGCTTTGTCACTTGCCCTCTGTAGGCCTCAAGTTTCCTCTTTGGCCAATCGGACTAATAACACCACATGCCAGGGCTGCAGGGACGACATTCTGAGAGGCAGTGGTGCGTGGATTCTGGAGTGAGATTGCCTGGGTTCAAATCCCGGCTCTGTGACCACAAACGAGTGCTCTGGCTTCTCCGTGCCTTCGTCTCCTCATCATTAAAATGAGGATTTTTTTTTTTTTTTTTTGCGGTACGGGCCTCTCGCTGTTGTGGCCTCTCCCGTTGCAGAGCACAGGCTCCGGACGCGCAGGCCCAGCGGCCATGGCTCACGGGCGCAGCCACTCCTCGGCATGTGGGATCTTCCCGGGCCGGGGCACGAACCCGTGTCCCCTGCAGCGGCAGGCGGACTCTCAACCACTGTGCCACCAGGGAAGCCCGGATTTTTTTTTTTAATTATTTTTTTATTTTTGGCTCCGTTGGGTCTTCGTTGCTGCGCGCAGGCTTTCTCTAGTTGCAGCGAGCGGGGGCTACTCTTCGTTGTGGTGCGCGGCCTTACCACTGCGGTGACTTCTCTTGTTGTGGAGCACGGGCTCTAGAGCACAGGCTCAGTAGTTGTGGCGCACGGGCCGAGTTGCTCCGCAGCATGTGTGATCTTCCCGGGCCAGGGGCTCGGAACCCGTGTCCCCTGCCTTGGCAGGCGGATTCTTAACCACTGCGCCACCAGGCAAGCCCTAAAATGGGGATTTTAATGGCATCTACTTCATAAAGTTGTGAGAACTAAATTGCTTAATATATTATAAGCACTTAGAACCATGCCTGGCACATAATAAGTACTGTATATGAATGACAGTTATTAGGGGCAAAGGCTTGGTACGTACTCCATGTTTAAAAACAGATTATTGTATTCATTGTTGTTGAATTTTAACCAATCATTGATTTAATAGATGTTTCATGAGCACATACTGTGTACATGTCAGGCACTGCTTAGGCACCGGGGACAAAACAATGACCATGGCTATTTTACTTAAAGGAATGTTTGTCGTACTGATTTGTAAGACCACTTTATATGTTAAGGCCCTTCACTTTCTGTAATGTAGATTGCCACTTTTTGCTAATCTTTTGCTTGCTTGCTTTTTTTCTTTACGGTGTGTTTTGATCTGGGGAAGTTCAAAACATTTCTGCAGTCAAATCTTTCTATCTTTGTCATCTACCTACTGAAATAAAATAAACATTCACCTATATAACCTCAGAGATATGATTTGAGATGGTGATAAGTGTATGACAGAAATAAACAGGGTGCTGTGATGAGAAGTAACAGAGGGTGCCCTCGCTGGATGGTGTTTCTGGGTGTAAAGGGTGCGAGGGAGGAAAGGGACAGGGGTGTGTCAGAAGGCCAGTGGGACAGAAGGCTCGTGGGGGAGGGAGCACGAGGGAGGGAATAGGAGGGGATGGTAGTGGGGTCTCCGGGGGCCAGATCATCAGAGGGGCTGGGGTGGTTTGGGTTGGGTTTTTTTTTTTGCATTTTCTTAAACTTCTTATTTTATGGTAATTGTTGTAAGGATTAATCCACGCAGTTGTAAGAAATAATACAGAGAGATCCCCTCTACTCTGTTTCCCCCAAGGGTAACATCTTACAAAACTATAGTTCGATATCACAACCAAGGTATTGACATTGATAGAAACCACCGATCTTCCTCAGATTGCCTCCGTTTTACTGGTACTCGTTTGCGTGTGTGTTTGCACACGCACGCACATGTTATTTTTATTCATTTTGTTAGCTTGCTTCTTATTAATTTAACTGTATCACGTGTACAGTTTTTGTCTCCACCACTGCAGTGAGATACAGAACAGTCCTATCATCACAAGGATCCCTGTGTTGCCCTTTTATAGCCGTACCTCCCTCCCTCCCTGCTGCCCCTCCCACACCCATGCGGGCAACCACGAATCTATTCACCATTTCCATAGTCTGATCATTTCAAGAATGTTACATAAAGGGAATCAAGCAGCATGTAGCCTTTTCGATTGGCTGCTTTCATTCCGGGGCTTGGATTTGATTCTGACTCAGAGATGCTGCTCTTGGATGGGCTGTGGACCCCTGGGGCTCTGTGCTCCCCCCCCAACCCCGACCCCGGGGTGAAGACATCTTTCACCAGAGGCCAGAGGCCAGTGAAGTGAACAGACAGATCATGGCCTGGTTTCCAATTTGAAAATGACTCTGGTTTCAGCATGGAGAAGAGACTCGCGTTTGTAGCAACTGCTAACTGCCCCCCACCCTGCCGGCTCCCCCTCGTTTCAGCGTTGTCCCCAGCCCCAGACTGGGTCTTGGAAAAACCTTGCCACGACCCGATTCAAAGACCCTCAAAAACCGCTCATTGCCTGGGGGGCAGGTGGGGCTTTGACCTGGAGTCCTTACTTGGGCTTCAGTAAGCTCAAGTAGCCGCTGTGTCTGAACCACTAAGACGGAATGCAAAATTAAATGTGTGCACTTTTCTGGAAACAGCTTGGAGTTTGCATCAGAGGTTCAGATGGGTCAGGGACCTCCAAAACTTTGAGAACTCTGGGGTCTAAACACAGATAGTGGTTAAGAGCCAAGGCTCTGGAGCCCCACTGCCCCTGTTCAAATCCCAGGACTATCACCTCTCTGTAACCTCAGACAAGTCACTTAACTTTCCTGAGCCTTGATTTCCTCCTCTAAAAATGGGAAAAAATACTAGTAGTTACTGAATAGGGCTGTTTTAAATATTGAATTATTGTATGTACAGTGTTTAGAAAGAAACTTGGCATGTTTAAATATTTTGGTAAATATTGTATGTTTGTTGAGTGCATGATGAGACTGCAGGAAATAGGAGAGCAGAGCTGTTTAGGGAGAGGCCTTCTAGCCCCTCTGGGATTTTCAGGCCCTCTCTGTATTAGTTGTCATCCCCTTGACAAGCTTGAAATCAGCAAGATTTCTTCCAAACGGATGCACAGTTACAATTGGGTACTATCACCTCCCTGGTCTTGGCTCTCATATCTCTGTTAATATGGCTTTAGCTAGAAGAGCTGGCTGGGGTTTTTTTTGTTTTTGTTTTTGAGATACGTGGGCCTCTCATTGTTGTGGCCTCTCCCGTTGCGGAGCACAGGCTCCAGATGCGCAGGCTCAGCGGCCATGGCTCACGGGCCCAGCCGCTCCACGGCATGTGGGATCTTCCCAGACCGGGGCACGAACCCGTATCCCCTGCATCGGCAGGCGGACTCTCAACCACTGCGCCACCAGGGAAGCCCTAGAAAAGCTGTTTTGATTATTGAATTAATCGATGTAAAATGTTTAGAAGGAAGCAGGTTGACCAACTCTTCCTGGCCCATTTCATTCCATCTTGTTGGGTTCAGTCTGTGGTTCTAGGAGAAACTGGAGTTGGTATATTGAAAGGTACCTTGGTCTCAGAAGCCAGCAGACCTGGATTCTGACTCTGGCCCTGCCCTCTCGCCAGCTGTGGGACCCGATGGGCAAGTTATTTGATCTCTCTGGCCTCGGTTCCCTTAGGAAGAAAGTGGAAATAACAACCCATCTTGCAGGGTTCTTGGGCAGAGTCAATAAGGTAATAACTCTAGTGCACATGGCAAAAGGTCAAGCACATGTGAGTACTTAATAAGCAGGACTTTGTTTACACAAATGCTTGGTTCAGCATAAGGGAGCTGTTTGCAATAGTCAGGCTCTGCTCAAAAGCCTGACTAGGGGTGACCACCCCATCCATGGAAAGAGTACAAGCAGAAACTGGATGGCAACATGTCAGAGATGGGATCTCGGCAGGCACCCCTGTTCAGGTTGCCACTTGGGCTGGGCAGGTGACCCCAAGACTCCCCCCAACCCCTACATGTCAGGGTGTGGACTTGAAATTATTCCCTTTTGCCATGTGTCTTACACCCTGATCATTTGGTGATTATTCTTTTTAATTCCTCTGCTTCTCTGCACCTTCGTCCTTCGTTCCCTGTGATGTTCAGAGAGGCCTTGTCACCACCACATCTGTGCCGCGGTTTCTCCTGAGATGCAGCACCTGCCATCCCTGTGAAACCAGTCAGTGTGCGTGTGTGGGTGTGTGTGTGTATGCACATGCATACGTCTGGATGTGCCTTCCAAAACAGATCAAAGATAACACCCTGACCGCTGTAGATGTCATGATTTAATCTACCCTGGGGGGGTTGCTTCACTCCCCCACACCTTTTTAAAGCACTTTACCACGGTAGCCTTTCTGCTGTGTGACCTTGGACACGCGTCTTGACCTCTCTGTTTCTCTTTCTTCAAAATTGGGGCTAGAGTGACCCCTTTGACATCTCTGCCACAGGATGCTGTGGATGTCTGTGAACTCACAAGAAGGAAGGTTGCTGGGACTTGGCAGAGGAAACCAGCATCACTGTTTTCCAAACCCCACCCCCACCCCTCCTTCCTTGGTCTTCACTGTGGCTCTGCCAGGAAGGCCAGTTGAGACTTTGAGTGGATACCAAGTCTCCCCCTAGGGAGAGCTTTCCAGCCCCGTGCTGAGCCCATCAGCGGCCCCACATCATGTCCAAAGTGAATTTATTCGACAGACTTGCCTGAGCACGTGCTGCGTGCCAGGCATTGCCGTAGGTACTAGGAGATTGGCCGTGCACAAGACAAGCACAGGCTCTCGGGATGACAGACACACAGTTGAAAGGAGAACATCTCCCATTCTCCTTGCCTTTTGCCCCCAGGGCACTTTTTGAAGAGTCTAGGCCGCTTCCTGCATAGACTGCCCCTCAGTGTAGGCTTGTCTGATGTTTCCATGTGATTTGTGCACTGGGGGCAGGGACCCCAGGGAAGTGATACTGTGTTCTTCCAAGGGCATTGTTTTCAGAAAGCTCATGACCTTGGTTTGTCCCATTCCTGGCCATGTCGACACTGACCATTTGGTTAAGGTGGTATCTGCCAGGTTTCTGTGTATAAGGTTCTATACAATTACATATATCAAGTATTGTATGTGAATTATGTAAAGTTAATTAATGTGAGTTTGTGGGGAGATACTTGGAGCCTGCTGTGGTGAAATAGAGCTGTCCCTTCCCCCCACTTACTCATCTTTATCGCCGTAGACTCCTGCACCCCTATTTTAACTCTAAGGGTTACGGTTGGTTACTGTAATATTCATTGTGAGGCTCTAATTGTGCCCGTTTTGGCCAGTGGGCATCCATCCTAGCTGGCTCCTATGTCTTTTCAAGCGGTCCCCATCATTCGTGGAGTACTTCCTTACTTTCTGGCACAAGAAGAATTCCAGGCTTTTCTTGTACTTTCCCTGCTCCTGGAGTCAGCTGTTTCTCCGAGGAGCCCTGGTTCCTGTCAGTCGAGAATAGTATTCAGAAGCCAAGACCTGGGCACTGGGATGGCATGATCATCAGGTGCAACGCATGATTCTGGACCAGATCCTGGACTTATAAAGAGCGTTGCTGTGGCAGTTAGCAAAAGGGAAACCGGGTCTGTGCATTAGCTGGCAGTAACGCATCCGTGTTAATTTCCTGGTTTGGATGGTTGTGTTGTAGCTATGTCGGCGGCTGTCCTTGTTTTTCTTAATAAACACTGGAGTATTAAGGGGCCATTTACTCATTATGAATAGATGGATGAATAAAATGAACAAATGAGGGAGAAGACAGAGACTGAGAGAGTATCAACGAGGACAGGGAGAGGAAAGGCATAGGAGTGAGAGTGAATTCGAAGAGCAGCAGGAAGTAAAGGTGTGCAGGGGGGCAGGTGCAGGCCCGGTGGAGAGGGAGGCGGGGCCGGGTGGAGGGGGCATGCGGCGGAGGGGGAGGGCTGTATCTGGAGGTGAGCTCTGAAAGCTGGGCTCGGGATGATGGGGACCGTGGGAATCATGAATCAGCGCTAACGGGCTCACTTGCTCCCAGCAGGCGCTGTAGGATCTCCCAATGGGGTGGCTTCGCTCTGGGCTCACGTTTTCGGTGGGCTGTCTGATCCTGGTGTGGGCGGCAGGCTGTGGTAAGTCACCATCTCTCATTCATTCATTCCTTCCTTCATTCAGCAAACCTTTACAGTATTGATTGTTTATGCACCAGGCTCACGCCATGGGATAGATGCCTGTGATGGTGGGATAGCTACCCTTAGACTGACATATTTTTCCTTTAATTCGGCCAAGGGCAGGTAGTTGCATTTGCATACTATAAAGGTGCATTTGGTCTGTCTCCGCTGATGGACCCTGTACCCAAGGGTATTTCTTCAGCTGCAGGCATCACCCCAGTGCCAGCTGGGAAGCTCACAGAGCCCCATTCCTGGCCCCTGCATTGTGAGGACCGTGCCTCGGACAGTGGTTTTGTTGTTTTGTGATGGGCCCCTTGGTCTGTTTGGGCTGGTTTCCAACTCATCCCTCTTGGTCGTCAGGCTCCAGCTGCTCAGAGGTCTCCTGTGTCTCCCCAGGGAGTGTGAGGGTCCTGCAGGGGCCCACCTGCTTCTCCGACTACGTCAACATCTCCACCTGTGAGTGGGAGATGGCCTGGCCCACCAACTGCAGAGCTGAGCTCCGCCTGTTCTACCAGCTGAAATTCTTCTACTTTGAGTAAGCCTGGGCTGGAACTGGGAGTTGGGGAAGGTTTGCCTCGGAATTCGCCTGGCCCACGTGGTACCCTGGAGTGCGTGTGCTAAATGCGGTTCACGGGGGCTTACTGGGCGTGGTAGAGGTGAGGTGCCCTGGGGTGCAGCGTGTGTAAGACACAGCGAGTGCGTCACGGTGCTCCAAGCTCAGTGTCACCGAGGCACGTGGCATGTGGATGTGGTGGAATCCTGGACTAGACCAGCAGTTCTCAAGCTTTTTCATCTCAGGACTCTCTTGTGTGCTTAAGGATTAAGGGACTTTCTAGGTGGTCCAGTGGCTAAGAGTCCATACTCCCAGTGCAGGGGGCTCAGGTTCTATCCCTGGTCAGGGAACCAGATCCCACATGCCGCAACTAAGAGTTCGCATGGTGCAACTAAAGATCCTGCATGCTGCAACTAAGATCCGGTGCAACCAAAGAAAGAAAGAAAGAAAGAAAAGAATTAGCGAGGACCCCCAAAGCTTTAGTCTGGGTAGCTTACATCTATCAATATTTCCCCTATTGTAAATTAAAACAGAAATTTTAAATCACAACAGCCCACAAGTTCACATTCAACAGGCTGTTGGAGCAACGGCATCATCACACATCGTGTACCCTCTGGAAAAGTCCACTGTACACTTGTGAGAGAAGGAGAGTGGAAATGGCAACTAATGTCGGAGTATTACTATGAAACCAGTTTGACCTAGTGGAATCCCAGACCACACTTTGAGAACCTCTGGGCTAGGCCATTGTTTGGGGGTGCAGTGTTAGCAGTGGAGTTCACAGCAATGGTTGGTGGACCATGGAACTTGGGATATGTTTTTCCAGGTGGTTCACTGGGATAATCCATGGTACACAGGGGTAACCACTGGTATAGGTGGTGCTCCAGGACATGATCCAGTACACAAGGCACACAGTTATGGAGCACATTGGGATATACAGCCCACCTGATGTGGGCTACACTGACAGAGCTGTTATTCCACGATATACTAAGGTGGACCAGCTGTGCTTCTGTATGTGATACATTGGCCTAGACCAGGGATCTGCAAACTGTGGCCCATGGGCCACATCTGGCCTACCACATGTTTTGTAAATAAAGTTTTACTGACACGCAGCCGTGCCCATTTGTTTGCGTATTGTCTGTGGCTGGGGCGTTTTTGTGCTGTATCAGCAGGGTTGTGCAGTCGGAACAGCAAGAGTATGGCCCCCAAAGCCCCAAATATTTACCATCTGGCCCATTACAGAAGACGTTTGCTGACCCCTGGCCTAGTCCGTGAGACATGGGGTTGGCTGTTTTGGGTGACACATTAGGATTAGGCTGTGGGGCACAGGGTATGTGCCTGCCAAGCCACAGTCCGCTGTACTGGGCTAAACTGTGCTACCAGAGGGGTGCTGGAACAGACACATACGTTGTTACAAATTCTTTCATGCTGTGGGTTCTTCCCTTTTGCTGGCTTTCAGGGTCCAAGGCTGGGGTCAGGGGCGGATAAGAGTCCATGGCGGGTGTGGTGAGGGGCTGTGGCCAGCAGGGAGGTGGTCCCAGGCCCCTGTCCCCATTGCATCCTGGCCACTCTGCTCCCAAGTTCCCAGATCTGGTCCTTGAGGCAGAGTGACCAGGAAGCTGGAAGGGCCTGTGGTCCCTTGAGGTGTATCCTGGGATGCCCGTGGGTCACATGACCAGCCTAATGCAACATCTGTGTCTGCAGAAACCACACGTGTGTCCCCGAGAACAGAGCTGGCGCGGTGTGCGTGTGCCATATGCATATGGATAACGTGGTCAGTGTGGACACCTACCAGCTGGACCTGTGGGCTGGGGAGCAGCTGCTGTGGAAGAGCTCCTTCAAGCCCAGTGAGCATGGTGAGCAGGGCGGGGCAGGGCGGGGTAGCCTAGGGCGGGGCTGCAGCTGTTCCCACAGCGGCCAGGGCAGGGAAGGCAGGCTCCATTTGGGGGAGGGGGCCATTCAAGCAGCCTCCAACCCCTCATGGGGCTGTTGCCCCTTTCTGGGCCTCAGTCCTCCCATCTTTGAAATGGGGCTGGGCTCAGCAGTACGTCAGGACCCCTTCGGTTCAGATATGTCAACCCCCTGTGTTTAAGTGCCCATATCAGGGTGCTGAATGAGGCGTATTTGGTGGAAGGCATGCTTGCTGCAGATCAGAAACTGAGCCGGGAACCGTCCTTCCACCCTCTGTCAACTGTTCAGCTGCTGCTTCTTCAGACAGTCTAGACCATGGGAGGCGGACCTTATCCTGGTACCCAGAGTTCCCGCAGGAATTCCCCAAGAGCTTGCTGGGGTGTAGTGACAGGAGTTTAAAACACTACTTATTGCTGTATGATCTTGGGCAAGTCATGTTACCTCTCTGAGCCTCAGTTTCCAAAAGACAGTTATTATCCCTATTTTGCAATTGTGAAAAACCGTACATAGTTCAGAGAAGGCAAGTAACCTGCCCTCAGGTCACACAGCTCCTCAGCAGCAGAGGCAGTATTCTCACAGAGCTCACAGTAGTCACCTCCATCAGCAATTCCGGAAGGGCTTACTCATACCCGGAGTTGGAGGGTGTGGGGGGGGGGTGATTTAAATTGACCCAGGAACGAATCCATGAATTGAAAGAATTTTTATGTGTGTGTTGATTTTAATGCTCATTATATACCTGTGATCTCATGGATATGATTGCTTTAAAAGAGACTAAGTTTTAAAACACATGAATCAAAATAAAGAAAAATACTTAGTAGATAATAATACAGAGCACAGAGATGGCCAATAGAGTGAAGGATAAAGGTAGAAAGGCCAAAGTTTGGGTTACTTTGCTTATGCATTTTGCACTCACTGTGGAAATGTAGTTAACAACCGCTAAAGTGGATTTTAGCGACATGAGAATCGGTATCAGGGTTTTAATTCTCCACTACGACAAAATCTGTGTGGTATCCCATCAACGTATTACGGAGGTGGTGTTGACTGAAAATCTAAATGGTCTGCAGGCCGGGCCGGGCCTCCTCCTGACGCCCAGCCCAGCCCCTCACCAAGCACCACTTCTCCGCAGTGAAACCCCTGGCGCCCAGAAACCTCACTGTTCACGCCAACATCTCCCGCACGTGGCTGCTGACGTGGAACAACCCGTACCCTCCTGAGAATCACCTATACTCCGAGCTCACCTACCTGGTCAACATCTCAAATGAGAACGACCCCACGGATGTGAGTGGGCGCCCTGTGGGGTCTCTCTGTGACCTCTTGAGACTCAGATGGGTCGAGACTCAGGCTCTGGGGTGGGAGATGGGGAAAGTGACCCGCGATTGGACAGCAAACCCTGGGGATCTGGACCCCCAGCTTCTCCTCTGGCTCTATGCCAGGACCAGGCCCTCCACCGCTCCAGGCCCCTGATTCCCAGCGTGCAGACAGGGGAGTTTATTTCCGGGCACTGTTCCTCATCTATAAAGAAGGACTCTGGACCACATTTGTTTCCCAGGGGGCGGGACACTTGGGATTTTAGGTGATACCTCCAAACACACTTAAATGAGCGAATCCCAGGGTGAGACGGTCACTCCACGCCCGCGCTCCTGCCCGACCCTGACTGTCAAGGGAGGCATCTCAGCTGAGCTGATTGGTTTACTAATTCTTCTCTTTAACAGAGAGAAGAGGCTGCAGGCTCAGAGCCTTCCCCCAGAAAACAAGTTCAGCCGAAATTTCATGCCGTTACGTGGTTTTGATTGCATTTACTTTATGAGATGCTCACGGCATTTCATACTTGCTTTCCAGTCATAGCAGTGGCAGTGAGGTTCCATTTTATTTTATCTTATTCTATTCTATTATTTTATTTTATGATGTTCCTTTTTAAAAAAACGAATGTATTGACATTTTTTAAATAGGGAGAACTGATTTGTAGGAAACGATGAAGTAAATAATCACAGGGGCTACACAGTGGGTGGCTTGGCCTGCCTCTATTTTAGGTGCAACTGGGGGTGGAGGCCATTTGCAACCACCCATGTTTTCCCCTCAGATATTCCCATTGCAGGGATGACATGTGAATACCAGGGGCCCCAGAGTCCTACAGAGCTGGGTTCCAGTACCTGCCCTGCCACTTGCTGCATGATCTTGAGGTTTTTGCTGAACCTCCTTGTGCCTCAGTTTCCCCATCTGTAACATGGCGATAACAAGAGTACCCATCCCATAGGGCTGTGGAGAGCAGGCAATATATGACACAGACAGGCTCCCCTGTCATAAACGTCATCCTCCTTTTCTCCTGAGTGCCACAGGCCTTGGAAATCCCATCTGACTCTCCCTCCCGCGCCCAGGCCTGTAACTGTTGAGGGTCTGCTGGGAGCCAGGCCCTCGTGTCCCGGGACCCTGGCTGGCCTGGCTTCGGCTGCCGGGGAGCAGGCCCCTGACATCTTGAGCTGTCACATCAGCTTCCGTCCCTGCTTCTTCTCTTCCTGGCCAAGCCGGGGGTGGGGGGGTGGCAGGTGTTGATTTACATCTCTCAGGTGTGGTTTTCCTCCTTGGCACTGGGCCAGGATGTGGGGTAGAAGCAGGAGTGGGGCAGCCAGGCTCTCAGAGCAGTCGAGAAGAGGTGGTTGGCACAGACACTGAGGAAAGACGCAGGGTCAGTTTTGTCAGTAAATCCCCTTCCCGTTCCTGGGCCTGTGCAGGCTTCGTTCAGGGCATAGGCTGGAGGGGAGAGAAGGGTACAACCTATAGGGTCCAAAGGAATATCAGTTATTTGCTTATCATGGCTGGATCCAGGTTCCAGGAATCTCCATCCTTTGTTCCTGCTTTATTCTATGTTGGCTTCACTTTTAGGCAGGCTCTTCCCTCATGTAGCTGCCAATATGTCTACTAGCAGGTCCAGGCCTGCATCTTAAAACCACAGTGGGAAAAGTTCTTCTCTCCAGATAGTCCCAGTAAAAGTCCTGGGGCCAATGATCAGTTACCTGCCTGGGATCACATGCCACTCTCTGAACCTGTCGCAGGCTGTGGGCAGGAGACGGGGTGCTGGTGCAGTGTTCTCACTGGCCAGGGCTGAGTCACATGCCCACCTCTGGAGCAGGTCAGGTCCGCCTCACCCAAACCAGATGGGCTGAAAATGAAGGAGGGGTGGCTCCCCAAAGGAAGTTCTGCGGAAGAGGAAACAGAGACTGGGCTGGCTGAAACACAGCTGGGTTCAGGACCCAGCACCAGACTCCAGCCAGCGGACAGAATTGTGCCTGGGCTATGGCTTAATGGTCATGTAGGTGCTCGGGGCTGCCTCAGGCCTCAGAATTCCAGGTCCAGCTTCTCTTGCTGGTGGGGCAGAATCTACTGAGACACCCTTCCCCCGTCTCTCCCTTTCCAGGGACAGAACCGGGCCCGAAGAATTCCCCTCATTAGTCATTGGCCAGAGATAGTCACATGCTCCTCTCTAACCAGTCACAGGTTAGGGAATGAAATAGCCATGATTGGTTTAGACCAATGAGAATTAACCCTGGAACTGGAGACAGAGGCTTACCTGCCCTGAGCTTTCGGTACCTGACCCCAATTGTGTAGATGCTGGGTGGGTGCCCAGCTGTGTTTGCTACAGTCTTGCAGGTACCACCTGTGGCTCAGACTGGTGGGATCAATTCTAAAAATATTAGAAACTCGCTGTGGAATTTGGGAGATGGAGATGCTCATTGTCCTGGATGATTTCTGGACAAGGTTCTATAATGGAGTTAGAGTTTTGGCTTGGGCAGTGAAGGATGTATAGGAGTTCTCTAGCTAGGGAATGGTAGGCCAGGCAGAGGGAGCTACATGAGCCAAGGCTTGGAGGCATGAAAATTCATGGTGTATCTGAGGATTATCGGGCTGTGGGAGTGTGTACAGTGAAAAGGCAGAAAATGAGGCCACAAGCTTACTGAGGGCCATGAATGCCATGTTCATGATAATGTCGCGGGTGCTTACTATGTGCCAGGCTCAATGTGTATTCTCACTAATGACTGGGAAAGCCCTGCAGGTGGGAAGGTGTTTGTCTATCCATTTTAGTGACCAGGACACTGAGGTTTGGAGAGGTGGAATGACTCACCCAGTGTCCCACAGCTGGAAATGGCCAAGCTGGGATTTGAAGCCAGGATTTGGACTGAGGGACCTGTGCTGTTCTCTTCTTCCGGATCTTTCTCTCAGAATGGTCTCGCGAACACCTGGCCTTTTTTGTTAAAAAACACACCAACCACAAGTAGTTCCTCGGAAGCTCAATTTCTTTTTTGTTTCTTAGTAAACCATTTCCCAATTCCCTATTCCTCTCTAAGGTGTGTGATTCCTTCAGTGAACCAGATCCAGCTGCTGCTTCCTGTTTACTGCGATTTAGAAAGAAAGGAACACCGGCAGTAAGAGTGTCCTTCTCTCCCTGCCCTGGTCTCCTCCTGTCACTCCCACCCTGTCCCCAGCTTCCCTGGAAAGTTCCAGCTGCCCTCCAGTTTCTCCAGCAAGCTGTTAGGACTTTGCTTCCTTGCTGTGCACACCTCCCCTCGGCTCCCTTTACACCAGACCGTTGCCCCCAGGTGCTTCCAACCTGCCAGCAGGAGCAGTGTTGCCAGGAGCTGGGAAGGGGCTGTGGGGGATTGGAAGGGGGGGGCCGCGAAGGGATGGACCCTCCACAGGGGGAGAAGCCCAGGCAGAGGATTCAGGCCACTGTCGTGCTGTCAGAATCCATCCTGAACCCAAACTTTACTTCATTTTTTATTTTTTTAAAGTCTTAAAAATAAAAGTAATATTCACATGAAGTAAAAAATTCAAAGGCTACCGAAGGACTTAGAAAGGAACTATGTTTCTCTCCTAACCCCAATCTCCAGTACCTCTCCCAGAGTTTGACCACTGCTCCCCGTCTCTTGCCAGGAGGGGAAGGCCAGGCTAGAGCAGGCAGAGGGTGTGGAGGCGTGTGTGTCCTTCTAGAGAGAGTTTATGCCTGTACGAGCAAATGTGTGTGTGTTCCTTCATCACCGTGAAGTTTTTATTATTACATGAAAATATTACTGCAAACAGAACTGCTTTAAACAGCACATATTTATTGCCCCAGAGTTTCTGGGGGTCTGGAGTCTGGGCACGGCTCAGCTGGGTCCTCTGCTTAGGGTCTCACAAGGCCGCACACACAGGGGTTGGCCAGGGGATTGCTTCCAAGCTCCTGTGACGTTGGCAGCATCCAGTTTCTTGTGGGCTTTGAACTGAGAGCGTCGGGTTCTTGCTGACCTTTGTTGGGAGGCCGCCCGCAGTTCCTTCCCTTGTGGCCTTTTCAAAGCCAGCAAGGGGGAGAGAGTCTCCTAGCAAGTTGGAGTTACAGCCTTGCATAATGGAATTACATCCACGTAGTCCCTATGTATCCATCACCTTCACCATATTCTGTTGGTTAGGAACAAGTCTTAGGTCCCCCTGCCCCTTTAGGCAAGGAGAGGGGATTACACAAGGGCGTGATACAAGGTGGGGTCACGGGGCCATATGAGTCTGTCTGCCACCATCACTATGCCTTCTCCCTCTATGTTTTGAACATGAAAGGCAACAGACAACACATACTAATCTTCATGTTACCTTTTTCACTTAACAACAGATCTTGAACCTCCCTTCCCAGTTGGGGCTAGGTTGGGCGGGACTGAGATGATGGGCCATTGTGTTTGGGCTTGACTGTGGAGCCTCCAGAGAGCCCTTGAAGGAGAGAGAGGGACGCGGTGACCCTGTCTGTGCCTCAGAAAGATCACTCTCGTGCTCCCCGCATGCCTGGCCCTGTCCAAAGTGCTTACCTGTGTTAACCCACTTAATCCTCACAGGAACCCTGGGAGGTAGGCACTTTTATTATCGCCATGTTGCAGAAGACATCAAGGTCCAGAGAAATTATGTCACTTATCTAAGGTCACACAGCCAGAAAGTGGCAGTAGGAACTCTTACCTGCATTTTACAGATGAGGAAACTAAAACTCAGAAAGGTTCATTGACTTGCCCCAGTAACGTCAAAATGGCTGATCAGGGTGGGAGTGAGGGTCAGGATAAGGACTGATTCCCTGACCCATCCTGCTCGATTCTGGTCACAGTTGTGGAAGTGACAAACAAGGGCCTGAAATTGGAGGAATAACCAAATACCCAGGCTGGTGGCTCTTAAACATTGTGGGGTCAGCTAAGGACAGCAGCCCGGGTGGGAGCTGGTACTCCCCTCCCCCAGACTTGGTGCACTAATGGCTCCCTTTCCTCTACCAGTTCAGAATTTATAACGTGACCTACAAGGGGCCCACCCTCCGCTTTGCAGCCAGCACCCTAAAGTCTGGAGCTTCCTACAGCGCACAGGTGAAGGCCTGGGCTCAGAGCTACAACAGCACCTGGAGTGAGTGGAGCCCCAGCGCCAAGTGGCTTAACTGTGAGTATCCTGCTGGGAGTCCTGAGCAGTCGGCCGCGCCGTGTGGCTTGCAGGATCTCAGTTCCCTGAAAACGGAACCAGGGATTGAACCTGGGCCACGGCAATGAAAGCCCGGAATCCTAACCACGAGGCCACCAGGGAATTCCCAGCAGTTAGCATCTCTGTTCCCCACTTTCATTCTGTGGCCAGAGACTTCCCCAAGCCAAACATCTGGTTTCCATATCACAGGATGCTCTAATTGCAGTGACAGAATTACCAACTGATGTGGTATACTGGTCAGGGTAGGGTAGGTTACAGTAAAACCCACAAGCTCTGCGGCTTAACACCGTAGAAATATGTTTCTTGCTCACATAACAATTCAACACGAACTTTGCTGACTGGTAGGTGATTTTCCTCCCTGTGGCTCCATCATTCTCTAGGACAGAGATTCTCAGCCTTTCTGTATCGTGGACCCCTTTGGCAGTCTGGTGAAGCCTGTGGACCTCATCTCAGAATAATATTTTTATTTTTTTTAATTTTTAATTTTATTTTAGAGTATAGTTGATTCACAACGTTATGTTAGTTTCAGGTGTCCAGCAGAGTGATTTAGTCATATGTATTCATATATCTATTCTTTTTCAGATTCTTTTCCCATGTAGGTTATTACAGAATATTGAGTAGAGTTCCCTGTGCTGTACAGTAGGTCCTTGTTGATTATCTATTTTATATACAGTAGTGTGTATATGCCAGTCCCAACCTCCCAATTCATCCCTCCTCCCCACCTTCCCCCCTTGGCAACCACAAGCCAGAATCATATTTTTAAACGTATAAAATAAAATACATAGGCCTTTAAGGGAAACCTAATTTTATTGAAATGCGATTATAAAAGGATTTTAAAATATATTTGTTATCTAGGAATACATGCTTCTTTAATAACACATTAAAAACAGGATCTAGTGGTAGTTGTCATAAATACTGTAATTTCAAAGTAGATGAACATAAATGGCATTTCCTGCTACTGCAGCTGTCAGGTGATTTGAGAATAGCTGTGACTTCTGATGGGGGCTAAGTAACTGATGCTGCTATTACTGTGGTTTGCTCCCTCTATTCCTAATGGGAGGAAATGCCAGGTTTCAGAAGTTAGTGAAAACAAAGATATCATTTCTTTCCCATCCAAGTTCCCAGACCCCTAAATCCTAACGGCAACCATGTTGGAGGTCTGTGGACCCCAAGTTAAGAATCCCTGCTCTGTGGACCTGCCGTCATCTGCATCCAGCCAGCAGAAAGGGAATGAGAGCGGGGAGACCACACGGGCTTCTTAAAAGTCTTAGCCCAGAAGTGACACACATCCCTTCCTCTCAAGCTCTATTGGTGGAGCTGGTCACATGGCCACACATAGCTGTAAGGGATTCTGGGAAATGTAGTCCCTCACCTGGTAGCTGCATCCTCCAAACAACTCTTTGTGACTTTATCACACTTTTGCAAAAGAGTATTGAATTATCTTACATAAAATGAAGTCTTTATTTTATTTATTTTTGGCCGTGCAGCATGTGGGATCTTAATTCCCCCACCAGGGATCGAACCCACGCCCCCTGCAGTGGAAGTGCAGAGTCCTAATCACTGGACCGCTGCCAGGGAATTCCCCTAAAATGAAGTCTTGCCAGTGGACCTTCCTGGTTCATACAGCCGCTCAGTTACATCACCACAGAGTCTTTTCTTTCCCTCTGCCATCCCTAGCATGGTAGCATTTTATCTTTACTCTTGTCACCTCATGGCCCCAAGTTGTCTGCTGCACACACCCTCATGCCCAAGACCCAAAGGAAATGGAAGGCTGCCACAAGGAGTGCATCCCGTGCATCTTTTATCATGAAACAAAAACATTTCCAGTCCTGGTGGCCTTTCCCTTGCCTTTCATTGTTCAGGACTGTCACGTGGCCTCTCCCAACTGCAAGGGAGGCTGGGAACTGAAATGTCTGAAAAGGGGACTAGTTTTGGCCCATGACTGGCCCAAACCTCAGGGTGGGCACATTGCAGCCTAGCAAAGAAGAAGGGGAGATAGCTGTTGCATGGTGGAGGCTGCCTCGGGCATCATCCGTACAATGGGGAGAAGGAAGGGCTGTTGTGAACATTCAATGAAGGAAGGATTCTTCAAAGTGCTGGGCACAGTGGTGATTGGCAGGTACCCCAACCCAACCCACCACACGCCCCTCTCAGCATCGCCTATCCTGTTCCATGGATACCTCTTGACCACCTGTCTCCCACTCCGGGCTGTGAGCTCTATGGGTAGTATCTGCTCTGTGTCTATATCTCCATTGCCCAGTATGGTGCCAACACAGTAAGTGCTTGGGAAAGTTTTGTCACATTGATTTGATTCTTCCTTTAACCTGCAGAAGGGAACGGAAATAACTTGTATGGGACAGATACCATGTGCTGGACACTCATTATTTCCACAGATATTTCTTGAGCTCCTACTACGTGCTGGCCTAGTGGTGAACAAAATAGGCAAAAATCCCTGTTCTTGTGGAACTGACATTCTAGAGGGGGAGACAGAAAATAAACAAGTAAATAAAAATATAAATGAGATCTAGATCCCGAGGACAATAATTCTGGGAAGGAAATAAAGCAAGGAGAGGGGGCCAGCTGTGTGAATGGACGTGCAGGCACGGCTTCAAGTGTATATTAAATCGTACAATCCTCAGAACAACCCTATGAGTTAAGTAGTTATTAACCCCGTTGCACAGAGAGGAAACCAAGGTACAGAGTGAGTGAGGGGCTTGTCCTGGGTCGCCAGCTAGTATATGACAGAGTCAGGCTTCGAACTGGGGCCGTCCAGCTCCAGAGTCTCTGCCCTTGACCCCACTTATTTCAAAAAAGAGAAAGCAGCATGTTCAAGATCCTGAGGTGGCCCCGAGCTTTGGAGGAACGGGACAGCAAGGAGGCCGATGTGGCGAGGACTCAATGTGCAAGAGAGGGGAGTAGGAGGGGATGCAGCGGCCAGCTCACGCAGAGTCTTGGAGGATGCTTTCACGAGGCCTCGGTCTCCTGCTCTGGGAAATGGAGACCAGGCTGGACGCAGCACGATGCAAGCTCACGGCTTCCCTCCACTTCCAGACTATGAGGCGACCTTGGAGCAGCGCCTCCCACTGGGCGTCAGCATCTCCTGCGTCGTCATCCTGGCTGTCTGCCTGTCCTGCTATGTCAGCATCATCAAGTGAGTCCTGAGCTGTGCAGGAGGCTGCCAAGCCAGCCCCCTGTGGTGTGGAGTGGGTGGGAATTTCCCCTCTGATCTGTCAGCTTGCAGCCCTTTCATTCAACGATAGATATTTATTGAGCAGCTACTATGTGCGAGGCACTGAGACCGACAGGGACCCTGTGTCCTTGGGGAGGCACAAGATGCCAGGCCACCGAGTAACCATGGCTGTTTTCCATAGTGATCCTTGCGCTGAAGGAGATATGCCAGGGCGAGGGGGTGAAATGCTCCAGGGGCTGTTTTGGATGGGGAGGCCAGTGTGGGCCCCTCTGACGAGGTGTTTGAGCTGAGACCTGACTAGGGGAAAGGAGCTGTCCAGGGCAGGAGCTGGGGGCAGGGCCTTCCTTTGGCAGAAGTGAGGTGGATCATGCCCAGGGTATGGCCCAGACACTTGAAGGCACGTGGCAATAGACAGAGGAATTCTAGATGACTGTCCTGCAGAGTCAGACCTGGGTTCAGATCCTGGCCTTGGTGCTTCGTAGCTGTGTGACCAAGTTTCTGAACCTCTGTTCAGCCTTGGGTCCCTATTTCATCAGTCCCAAGAGTCCTAAGGGACTCCCCGATCACTCGGTGTAGGGGGACAGAAGGAACCTTGTTTCCAGTGAGCTTGAGCCCTTGGAATCATGGAGTCTCAGAGCCTCAGTCCTCCCACCTCTGAAATGGGACGAGCGGGCCCCAGTTGACCACTTAAGGATGGCGATGGTTGAGGATTGATGTGAGCAAGTGTCTGCACTCTGCCGGGCATACAGTAGGTGTGCAGGGAATGCAAGGTCCCCTCTCCACGTCTGTTGCTGATGCCTCTGAGCCCCCCTGGGCTGGTCTTTCTCCTTCTCTGAGCCTCAGTTTCCCCATCGTCTGTCTTCCCTACCCCTACTCACTGTGTTCCAGTGCTCCAACCTTGCTGTTCTTTGAACACCCCAAGCAAGATCTTCCCTTGGAGCCTTTGCACTTGCTGTGCTCTCTGCCTGGAAAGCCCTTTTTCCAGGCATCACCGAGACTGACTCCTCCTCCACCTACAGTTGCCTCTCAGAAGTCACCTCCTCAGGGAGGCCTTCCTGGATCACACTATTCCTCTCTAGTCCCTATCTTCTTTATTTTTATTCCTGGCACTTATCGCCAGGAATGAATGATGTCACATAATCATTTCTGCAGGGTTTTTGCCTGTCTTGTTCACTGTGTGTCCCCGAGGCCTGGCACAGTGAGTGGTACATAGTAGGTACTCAATAAATGTGTGTTAACTGACTGAGTGGAGTGGGTGGAGGCTAATCCAGGGGGTGTCTGAGGACCTTCCCTCCCAGCACTGACGCTCCGTGGCTCCAGGCTGACCCAGGAAGGGAGAAGGAATACCTCAGCCTCTCAGGCCATCCCAGGCCTCTCCCCAGCACCTTACCCTCAGCTCCTCCAGAGTAAAGGTTGTTGAAGGGGAAACCCAGAATTCTCTCTCTGCAGCTTGAGTGTCTCCTGATTCCCTGGAACTTGTTCCCTCTGGAGCAGAGGCGGCCACATTAGGAACTCCACTCTGGGTAGCAGGATGCTGGAGCCCAAACCCAGCTCTTAGCTGTCACTTCACCTCCCTGGGCCTCAGTCTTCTCATCGGTAGAGTGGGGTTAGCAGTAGAACCTGTTTCACGGGGTGAGGGTGAGACAGCCAAAAAACCTATCGACATGATCTCTGACCCCTGATAAGTCTTGGTGACTATGATAATTTTTATGGGAGTAATGTCAACCTGTTAGTGATACAGGGACCAACATCTTGTCCTTTTCTTTTTCAGGATTAAGAAAGAATGGTGGGACCAAATTCCCAACCCAGCCCACAGCCCCCTCGTGGCTGTTGTCATTCAGGATTCTCAGGTAGGAGAGGGGGTTGGTAAGGATGCTGTGCACTGCGTGTACAGGGAAATACGACTCAAGATGTCTGGGATGTTCAGGATATTTCTTGGCTTTTGAGGTTGCACATGGGAAGTCAGGAAGGTTTCAGGGTAGGTTGAGTCAGCAGCTAGAGGCTTTCACTCCCTTCCCTTTGGCTTCCATGACTGTTCTTTCAGCCTGGGTGGGAGACAGGGGTTTCTCTGGGGTTGGTTTTTTCCCTCCCTTGGGAGGAGATGATCCCTGAGGTCATCAGCATGTCATCTCTTGGCAAGGTACCTGTACCAGAGCAGGAGGCCAAAAGGAGAGGGAGAAGGGGACAGGCTTTCTGTATATTCCTCTTAGGAGCAGGAAACTGCCCCCCAAAACACTAGCAAATCTCTCCATTCTCATTGGCTTGAATTACATCACAGTCTCTTTCCTAAACCACTCACTTGTAAGGAGTGGGAATACTTGAGACCAACCAGGTGGCCACCCCTGAGCTATGGGTGGGGTCAGCTTCCCCAGTGCGATGGCCAGGTGGGGTTTGCCTTAGTGCCATCAGGGTTCTCTAGGACAGGGGGAGGCGGGGATACAGGTCCCGTCTAGAACAGAAGGTCTGAGTGTCCTCAATTCTCCAGGGACCCTGTAGCAGGCTCTGGAGTCCAGTGGTACTGGCTTTGAACCCTGGCTCTGCCACTTACCTGCAGGTTAGACTTAACAAGTTGCTTAACTTCTCTGAGCCTCAGTTTTCTTGTGTGGGTTATAGCAGTGGTTATAACAGGGCTGGTGTTGGAATTCACCGAGACAATCCACATGAAGTGTATATTACAGCGTTGTGCACATAGTGTCGTTTATGTATCAGTTAGATTTTGCTGTGTAACAAATCATCCCAAAATTTAGAAAGTTAAAACAGTAGCCACTTATGTAGCTCTTGCTTCTGCAAGTCTGTAGTTGGGCTCTGCTCAGCAGTGGGGGTGGAAGGATCCTTGGTTTGGCTGGGCCTGTACCAGGGGCCTCACTCGCAGGTCTGGCAGGTGGCTGACACATCTGGGGCCGTGGAGGTTACTAAGCCATGTATGTGTCTGTTATCCTTCAGCAGGCTGACCCAGTTAGCACAGTATCACTTCCACCACATGCTATTGGTCAAAGCAAGTCACACAGCCATGCCAGATTCAGGGATGGGAGGAGCTTCAGAGACTGTGGCCATTTTTGCCATCAGCCACAGCAACTTAATAGTGCAGCCTCCTTAATTCTCAGAAAACTGAGGCTCAGAGAGGGGAAGCAACCTGATCAGACCTCAGACCTGTGTGATGTCAAGACTCAAAGTCTCCTCACGGCAAACACGTGCTGAGCATTGCTGGACGATAGGCTGGGCCGGCAGGCCTCTCGGCTCTGTGTCACTGGCTGTCTCTATGTTTTAGGTGTCACTGTGGGGGAAGCGGTCCCAAGGCCAGGAACCAGCCAAGTGCCCGTATGTATATGAACTTGGATCATCGCCTATGTGGATTTGGAAGGGGATGGAATTGGGGTGGTGGGCCCCATCTTGAGAGTCTGCCTTATCTTCCTTGTTCAGCACTTGTCCTGTGACACTAGACTTCAAGAGATAGCAGGGGGAGGGGGTGGTCTGGGTAGGTCAGCTGCTGGCTGAGTCCCCTGAGTTTCACTGGGGGTCAGGTACATACTGAAACCCCTTGGGATGCCCAGTCTGTTCTGAGCAAGCCTGATGGGGGTAACAAGCAGGGCAGCTGTACCACTTGTTAAACTGTTGACATAGTGGCATACTGGTGGGCAGATACCACTATCCTGGACCCTTGAATATGCCACCATCTTCCTGGCCTCCTTAGCCCCTCTCTCAGGGCCCCTTGAACCTACCCACAATCCAGTAACTGAAGGGTTTATACCTAGCACAGCAGGGGACTCCAGGATGCTGCCCCGGCCCTAGGACTCCCCAGCCATTCTAATTGGTCCTTACTTATGCTATGGTGTTGATAGGTATTTTATTTTTATTTATTTTTTAACGTCTTTATTGGAATATAATTGCTTTACAATGTTGTATCAGTTTCTGCTGTATAACAAAGTGAATCAGCTATATGTATACATATATCCCCATATCCGCTCCCTCTTGCGTCTCCCTCCCACCCTCCCTATCCTACCGCTGATAGGTATTTTAAATACCGTCATCCCTGACAAAGACTTCTCCTTATTCAATAGATTGAGTTTGTATTATATGCCAGGCTCCAGAAATCCCAAAGTAAGACACAGGCCCTGCCTTCAAGGAGTTCCCAATCTAGTAGTGAGGGTGGACTGATAGATTATTGATTAGAAAGTCTGGAAGTGTGTTTGCAACAGATAGACATTGATACCCACCAGGGTTCTCGGCCTTCCCTAGTCAAGAGAAATTGACTAGATGCCAGACAAGAAATTCAGGCAAGGCTTTACTGGGGCCCCTGCTGCAATGGGGCGGGGCGGGGTGGGTGAGGGGCTGGGGGGTGTTGGAGAACAAGTAGCAGGTTCTCTTGCCCACTCCCCGAGGGGGGCAGGCGAGCTGGTTCCTGATATGGGGTGAGGGTTAGGGGTGTGTCCAGGGATTGGGCCGGAGGGGTAGCTTAGGTGTTTTGCCCACCCCTCTGGTGGTGTGAAGTGCAGGCGGCATGCGCAGTACCCTGGTTTTGATCCTGGCTCTTCAGAAGTGGCAGTTGCGTTTTTTGGCCTTTCTGTATCTTTTGTGCAAGCCCCAACTGCGCTTGCAGCCAGTTTTTTTTAGTCCCATATAGTTTCTTTGTATTTTGTTGCTGGAGGTGAGGTTTGTCCACTTGCAAGCATTGTAGCACTACAGCAAAGGGTCCTGGGTCCCAGCCTGTCTCAACATCAGTCCAGGGTGATTTTGAGCTGGGCTTTGAAGGATGAATAGGAGATTTTTCAAGTGGAGAAACTGAACCCTGATCGAACTTTGCTCTTGTAGACACTGGAAGACTTGTCTTGCCAAGCTTCTGCCCTGTTTACTGGAGCATGGCATGGAAAGGGATGAAGATTCCGCCAAGGCTGCTAGAAACGAGCCTTTCCAGTGTCCTGGAAAAGTAGCATGGCACCCCATGGAGGTCAACAAGACAATCCTCTGGCCAGAGAGCATCAGCTTTGTTCGGTGCGTGGAGCTGTTTGAGGCCCAAGTGGAGAATGAAGAAGAGGAAGTGGAGGAAGATAAAGGGAGCTTCTGCCCATCACCTGACAGCAGTGGGGGCAGCTTCCAGGAGGGCAGGGAGGGCATCGCAGCCCGGCTGGCAGAGAGCCTGTTCCTGGACCTTCTCGGGGGCGAGGATAGGGGCTTTAGCCCACAGGGCTTGGAGGAGTCCTGCCTTCTTCCACCTTTAGAAAATCCAAGTGTTCAGAGGCCCTGGGCCACGTCCCCAGGTGTGGGGCCCCAGGAGGCATCGTCTGAGGACAAGGAGCCTTTGAACCCAGAGTCAAGTCCTCCAACCCAGAGCCCAGCCAGGCTGGCTTTCCCAGATATGCCCGGCGTCATCGCAGACAACCCCACTTACCGCAGCTTCAGCACCTTCCTGAGCCAGTCCTCAGGCCCTGGAGAGCTTGACTCAGACCCACAGCTGGCCGAACACCTGGGGGAAGTGGACCCCAGCATCCCCGCCGCCCCCCAGCAATCTGCACCGCCCACCGCACTCCAGCCTGAGCCAGAAACGTGGGAGCAGATCCTGCGCCAGAGCGTCCTCCAGTGCAGGGCAGCCCCGGGCCCCGCCTCGGCCCCCAGCAGTGGCTACCGGGAGTTTGTGCAGGCCGTGAAGCAGGGCGGCGCCCGGGACAGCGGGCTGGAGGGCTTTGGCCCTTGCGGAGAGGCTGGCTACAAGGCCTTCTCCAGCGTGCTCGCTGGCACCGCTAGCTGCCCGGGGACATCTGGGCCTGAGCCCAGCAGTGGGGAGGGGGGCTACAAGCCCTTCCAGAGCCTCACTCCTGGCTGCCCCAGAGCCCCTGCCCCAGTCCCCGTCCCCCTGTTCACCTTTGGACTGGACGTGGAGCCCCCTCACAGCCCTCAGGACTCACTCCTCCCAGGCAGCACCCCAGAGTGCCCTGGTTTGGAGCCAGTGGTCAAGGGACAAGACAGCCAGAAGCCCCTGCTATCCCCGGAGCCAACCACAGACCCCCTCGGGGATGACCTGGCCAATGGCATTGTCTACTCAGCCCTCACCTGCCACCTGTGTGGCCACCTGAAGCAATGCCACGGCCAGGAGGAACGTGGCAAGGCCCACATCGAGGCCAGCCCCTGCTGTGGCTGCTGCCGTGGGGACGGGTCCTCACCCCCGGTGAGCCCCCTGAGGGCCCTGGACACCCAGCTCGGTGGGGCATTGGAGGCCAGCCTCTCTCCGGCCTCCCTAGCACCCTTGGGTGTCTCAGAGGAGGGTAAGTCCCCCCTGTTCTTCCAAACTGCCCCCAACAATGCTCAGAGCTCAAGCCAGACCTCCACGGTGGTGGCCATGCTCTCCCCAGGGCCCACGTGCACGGACGCTTCCTAGGTGCGTGCCCACTTCTTGCTGGAGTCTACAAGCGAAGACTGGGCCTTACCCGTGACTGCGGAATGCCTCCCTCCAGAAGGCAGCCCAGCTGGCAGGGTTCCGAAAGACTCAGGGAACCCTGCTATGAAGTGGTGAAGTTGTCCAACACTGGGGCTACGGAGACCAGCCGCCCCAGGCTCCCACCATTGGCCCGGGCTCGCCACGTCCCATGGGAGTGGAGGCACCTGCAGGGATCAGGAGGTTCCCGGGCGCCTTGGCTTGTGAATGAGCTGTTGGTCATTTCACGGGTCCACAGCTGCCCCAGTGGACTATCGCTGTCACGCTCAAGGCGTGTTTTGTCCACCGAGCTGCTTTGTTACTCGTGTCTTGCCCAGGCCTGGGGTTAGCTGCCACCATCTCACTGGATCGGATGCTGAGCCTAGAAGCTAACCAAGCCAATGGGAGAATGACTTGGGAGGCCTTGGGAAACTGAGGTCCAGAAAGAGTGGTCATTTGCCCAGAGACGCCCGTTCATTTAACAGAGGTTGACACTGGCAGCAGCGCCTGAGCTGCGGAGGGGCGCTTAGTCAGGTGGAGTTAACGAGGACACGAAGAATTGTGATTACCGAGCAGTGACGGCTTGCTGCCGGCTTCCCACACAGCTGTAAGGTCGGGGGTTCCTGTTAATCACTGGATCCCCAGAACAAGCATGCCTGGTGACCTTGGGGCCGGCGTGTGCCCCCATGCATGCCGTTGCTGGCATCGGTGGTTCAGAGGGAGTGGCTCAGGTCTCCTGATCCAGCGAGCTGGGCGTCCGAGATGCCGACACCAGGCACATCACCTGCACCTCGGCCCCGACCTCAGGTTGAGTAATGTGCATTGTTTGTGTACATCTCAAAAATTGTTTCATCACCTGGTGTTTGTGTTTGCTGAGGAGGGTAGAATGGGGGGGGGTGGAGTTTTGTATAAATAAAGGTTCTTTACCTCCTTCCCCACCCTTCCCACCCCATTTATTAAACAAACATACTGCCAGGCACCGTTGCGAGTGCTTTACCTCTATTAACTCGTAGAATCCTCCCATCCAGAGGTACTGAGACCAACCCAAGAGGTTAAGTAACTTCCTGTCTTCTTGGGTTTCCCCGAGACCAGGATTCAACTACAGTTTGTTGAAATAGGTGGCGATCCCAGGAAGCCCTGCTTGGAGAGTGGGGAAAGGAGGCAGGGAAGGGCAGGAGGCAATAAAAGGTGTTATCGCACAGAGTGCCAGCGCGGGCAACAGGTGCTTCACGCCGCGGGGGAGCTTGGGCAGGCCAGGCGCAGTGCATGCCTGGAGGTGGGGAGCTAGCTGTTTGTCCACCAACTCCCATCTGTCATTGGTGGAGGGCTGCTGCCAGGGGCAACTCCCCAGCACTTCCAGCTGCTCCAGGAAAAATTCCTCAGATTGAGAGCTGGGGGGGTGGGGGAGGAGCGGTGTTTGAGCAGCTTTGGGCACGTGGAGATGTGGACAGGGCTGTGATTGGCAGCTGCTCCTTTGCCAAGGTCACACAGCTAGTGGCAGACCCATAGCTGAGCCATCGCTCAGCCTCTTTGTAGGTGATCCGTGCTTTAACATCTGGGCGGTCGGTGTATGGAGTGGGCCTCAGACAGGCAGGCAGGGGATCTTAAGCTCCTTTGTCTGCGATCACTCTGTGAGTAGCCGCCCTGACTGCCACGCTTGCAAAATGAAGGGCTCGGCTGTTTGAGGTTCCTTCCTGCTCTGGCATTCTACGTAATACATTACGGAGGTGATGGGGACCTCACTACCTTACATGCAGCCTAATGTTTGTGAGAACTGCCTCCTTTGTGCTGAGCCCAAATCTATCCCTTTAGCTGCCTGAGTCACCACCCCACACCCACGGTTTGCAGATGAGGGAAACTGCTCTAGAGAGGAAAAGGGACTTGCCAACGTCACACAGTGAGTGGCAGAACCTGAACTAGCCCTCTGGACCTTTTGTCTTCAAGAGTTCTTTGTAATAAAATATAATAATTTAAAATAAAAATAACTAGTTAGGACCAAGCAATTTGCTTGGTGTCGTACACTGACTGTGTCACAGCTCTAGCGAGCAGGTTATTATCCCAACTTTACAGATAAGGGAGCAGGCCCAGAGAGGTTGAGGTTTAGCTTAGGGCCACACAACTGGGAAGTCCGGGAGCCAGAATTTGAATCCAGGTCTGATTGCAGAGTTCCCAGCCACCATGGTGTGCCATCTCATGTACAGCATGGCACCGACTCGATTGTCAGCTCTGATTAGCCTGCGGGTCATCTCAGAAAATCAAATTTTAAAACTAAGCAGCCAGTGGATAGGACTCGGTGCTTTCACTGCCGTGGCCCTGGTTCAATACCTGGTCGGGGAACTAAGATCCCGCAAGCCTCGCGGGGTGGCCAAAAATAAAATAAAAACTAAAAAAACTAAGCAGCCAACAGAGAAAATATATTTGGGTGAGTGCTGGAGAGCTGGTTGGATTGCAAGTCCAACAGAATTGAGACTGACTTATTCTATCCCCAGGATCTTAGGAGGAAGACACCCAACTTGTCAGCTGAGGCTCATATTACAGAATCCGCTGGGCTTTGGGAAAATAGAATGGAGAACTAGGCAGAGACACCTCCCATCTCTTATTCGGATTTCAACCCACCCTCCCAGGTTCAGGGAAGCTGGAGAGAGGTCACCGTTCTGGCTTCCCCAACCCCCTTCTCCATCTTAACACAGGGAAGGAGGAAGCAGAGAGAGCGGGAAACACATCCCACTGATGTTTACTGAGAACTTACTATGGGCCAGCCACTGTGCTGGATGTGAGGAAACTGAGTGACACAAAGTCCCTTCCCTCTTGGACCCTACAGTTCAGTGGGGTAGACAGAAATGTAAAAGACAAAAGGAAAAAATAGGAGTCTGAGATGGGGGGGTTAGTGGAGAGGTCTTTAAGGAGGTGACATGTGAGCTGAGCCTTCAGTGACTAGAAGAACCAGGATGGACTGGAGGAAGAGCATTCCAGGCAGAGGATAGAGCAAGTGCAAAGGCCCTGAGGCACAAGGAGTTTGGCGTGTTCCCAGTAAGAAAGATCAGCTACAGCGCAGTGAGCCAGGGACAGTGGTGAGAGATAAGGTCAGGCAGGATGGGGGACTGGAGTGAGGAATTTATATTTTGGCTTAAATGCACATTAGCCCCACCCACTGAGAAACATGGTCCAATAGACACCCATCTCTCTTCAATCTCTCCAGTCCCAAACGTAATCCATCTATAAGCAGGAGCCCAGGAGAGGAAGTGGAGGCACTGGAGATGTTCCTCCAATAGGACTCCCTCTCACCTCGCAGAAGTGGAGAATTAAGGTTCCTTCTGACAACAGTGATGGGGGTGGTTAAAATCCTCCTTGCTGCTCTTCTCACTCAGGAGTGAAGTGAATCCCACCAGAAATGTGTTGATTAGCACAGGGGAGTGCCTGGCCGCCAGGGTCTTCCTCGAGAATTTCTTTGATAAAAGACTTTTAAAAATCCCCTTAAAATCTGATCTTGACCTCCCAGGCATGTCTCCAAGTTAGGCAGGGAACCCAAGGGTCTTCGGGGTGTGAAGTCCCAGCCCCCGTCTCTGCTCGCTCTGTCTCCTTCGTCCTGCCTGTGTCTTCATTTTTTTCATCTGTAAAATAAGAAGGATGATGAAACCTGCATTGGAGCGTTGTCCTGAAGATAGTCTACATTATCATCAACCGCTGGGTTTACTCCAACCTGGCGGGGGCACAGGTAACAAGAGTGAGAGGGTACAACCAGCTTAGAAATCTAGAATTCTCAGCCTCAGCCACTGCTCTGGGCTTCCTCCCGTGGACCAAAACCAAACAAACAACCAAAATGTTGCCTGCCGTTTCAGTCAACGAGGAATGGTGTCTGCATTCTGGTAAACAAAACTATTGCCCACCATCAAGCCTTCAGCCACTGCAGCTGCCCCAGGACAGTGAGCCCCGAAGGGAATCCGGGAGAAAAACAGGATACACGCCCTAGACAGTTAAGATGCCCAGACTCTCGCATCTTCCCAAACACAGAAAAGCACTAAAATCATTAACTTGAGATGTCTGCTTTTTCTTGTGATTAGCAATAATCTTTCGACGTTCTACTACATGTTTTGTTTTGTTTCAGCAAAAACTCCTATAGATCCAGGCTGCCCTCTTACCTCTTTGGAACAGTTCCTCAGAGCGGTCTGAGAGGCTGTATCCCAGGCTATATAGTTCTCAGTAATGTCCCTGAATAAAACATAATTCTCAGCTTTTATGGTGTGATTTTTTTGTTTTTGTTTTTTTTTCAGTAGACACTCCAAATCTCCCTGGTAAGCCCCTGATGACTCCCACTGCCATTAGTTGATCCTGACATGGGAGATCCCCAGCTCATGCCCGCCTCAGTCCCCCATGCTCTCTGGCTTCTGCCTACTCCTTTAAGGTCAGGGCTTCCCCAGACTAAGCCTGGCGAGTCACTCCTTCATTCAAATATAATTACTCCCTGACAGCAATTGTTAAAACAAAAATAAATTTCTCAAATTATGAAAGTGGATCAAAGTTTTATTTTAGATTTTTAGGGAGGGAATCAGAAAAAAAGAGAGAGAACATTGGTTCAAGGAACAATCTTAGTGTTACCAAATGCAAGTTCATGTGCTGGACACAGTGAGACCAACAAACCAAAATGTCGGAGTTTGGAGCAGAGAAAGGTTTATTGCAGGGCCATGCAAGGAGAGTGGATGGCTTGTACTCAACCCCGAACTCCCCAAAGGGCTTCAGCAAAGCATTTTTAAAGGCCAGGTGAGCGGGGTGGGGGCGGGGGGGGCGTCACAGGGTGTGTGATCAGCTCGTGCACAGTTTTCTGATCGGTTGATGGTGAGGTATCAATTCTTAGGCGCCAGTAGGTCTGGGGTCATCAGTATCAAGCAGTTACTTTCTTCCATTTAGTGGTGGTTTTAGCATCTGTAAAAACAACTGAGGAAATGTGCATCAGATGCTATTATCTAGATATCAATACTTCATAGAGGAGCTACAGCAGAGGATGTGGGGGAGGGGTCTGTCCCCAGAAGGCCCCAGAAGGTCCCGTCCCGCTCTGTTACGTTAGGAAGGGATTTATAGCAAGACAAATGAGTGTCCAGAATAACGCTATCCAACAGAAATTTTTGCTGTGATGGAGAGCTTTCACGTTGTCCAATACAGTGGCACTAGCCGTGTGTGGCTATTACACACTTGAAATATGGTTAGTGTGACTGAGGAACTGATTTTTTAATTTTATTGAATTAACATTTAAATTTAAACAGCCCCCCCCCAAAAAAATTTTAAATAGCCCCAAGTGGCTAGTGATTACATTATTGGTATTGGACAGGAGGACAGGGCTAGATCATTACAGTCCAAGGTACAACGTTAGCAACTGCCTCAGCGTGGAGGAGAGAGGATAGGGTCCGAAGAGATGAAAGGAGAGAGGAGGGACAGGTTGCATCAAACGTTTGCCCCAGAGCTACTGAGGGGCGGGGTCTGATGGATCGGTTGGGACCAGCGGGGGACCGCCCCACCGAGTAGGAAGTAGGCGGCAGGTGTGGGCGGAGCGAGATGCTGGCCGCGTGAGTTTCCCAGCGCCCCTCGCCGGTCTGGACCAGAGGTATGGAGAGCAGGAAGGGTTCCCCAGGGTAGCAGCACCAAAGGGGGCTGGGCGCGGCCGGAGACTGGAAGGTCTCAGAAGAACCCAGGAGACCTCCAGAGGCATTGAATTCGGGGTCCCCCCGCCCTAGCCCCGCACACCCCCCGCCTCAATTTTACAAAGATTTTTTCCAGAAGGTGGGGGTGGCAGGATGGGGGGGTCGTTTCCTCTTTAGTTTTTTTTTAAAAAACAAAACCCCTACTTACCGCTTTTTTCTGATTACTAAATCGGCACGTGCCAGCCTTCTCCGATTCAGGGAAAACCTAAACGTTTTAGGTTAATAAATAGGAAAGTGAAAAACACCGGAAATCCTGACCCCCTCCCCAGCACCTGTCATTTCGTGGGCGGTCCCAAAATGTATATGTTTGTTTTTGAAGGTGTATCTCCGTTAACATCCTGTTGAATAACCTGTCTGACATTATTTTCCCACGAAAGTTATTGATTAAAAAAACAACAACAACACAAACAGCAAGAAGTTTCTGAGCCCCCGCTGCAAGGGAGGCATGACCTCACCGGATCCTCACAGCAGCCAGAGACCTCTGTGCGAGACTTTTCCATGACGTACCCTGACTCCTAACCACTCTTGTCTGCCGTTTGCCTAGATTCTTATACCGCTTTTACAGGTGAGAACACTGAGACTCAGAGAAGCAAGGCTCTGCACTCATCCTGCCTCGGTTTGAACCTGCCTGTGCCAATTCGGAGCCCTGTGACTGTGGGCAAGGTGTTGACCGCTCTGGGTCTCAGTTTCCTCCCCATCAAAGATGGATAAGAGAAGTACCCTGCAGCCCACAGTGGTGGAGTGAGGAGCAGATGTCTTGATGGGTGAAGGCCAGGCTATGCCCAGCTGCTCTTGTGACGAACTGGCCTGAGCTTCCTGACAGCAGCAGGACAGTGCCAGTTCTTCCTCAAAATCCCACCCTTTTCCAGCTTTATTAATGAGTCGAGGACGCCTAGCCAATGGAGATCAGACTGGCTGGAGACCAGCTCACTGGTTCCTGCTGCCCCCTAGTGGCTCACTCTTGCCCAGTGCCTGCCTCTGTGCCTATGGAGGTACCATGCCCAGAAAGCCCAGAAAACTAGGCCTGGGCTACCTCCACCCTCCCGACCTCTCCTCTCTTTCATCCCTGCCTTTCTCCTCCATCCCCTCCAGCACCTGGCAAAGGGCTTGACATACATTCAGAACTCAGGGTGCTCCGAGGACCAGCCGTGTGGCTCAGGGCCAGTCATGGAACCCCTCGGGGCTTCCTTCCTCTTCTGTAAAATGGGAATAATAATAGTACTGACCTCATGGAGCACACATAAGGCTCAGAATGGTGCCTGCACATAGTTAATGCTGTCCGAGCGTTTCCTAGCATTATTGTTATTATACTGAATGGGTCTGTGGGTGTCATAAAACATAATTAAAGGAGATAATAATATTCTAAATTTAATGTCACTTTATTTTGAAAAGGACAGACTGGACCAATAGAAATCCGACACAGAAATGGTCCCGATGGCATCACCCCACCAACTGTGTATGTGTCCACATCACTTCTAGACATGGTCCATGTGCAGAGTCAGTGTTTGTATCTTTGCAGAGGTTCCTGTCATGCATTTCTCATCATATATATTATATAAGACAGGTCTTTCCAGAGAAGGAGAACAAAACAAGAGAGACCAAGATGCAGAGAGAGAGAAACACTAAACAAACTTCTGATCCCAGCTCCAGTTTGATACTTGACTCCAACTACAGAATGACCTCTGACCCAGCTGTGGACTGATTCCTGACCCATGCTGTGGACCTATTCATGATCTTAGCTGCACACTGACCCCAGCCACCTGCTGACCCCTAGCCCTGGCAACAGAATAATCTTTGACCCCAACCATAGACTGATCTCTGACTCTGGCCACTTGGACCCCTCACTCTTATACACTGACACACCACCCCATCTGGGAAATGACATTTCCTGATTTCCAGCTGGTAAATTCAGCTTGAGTTGGTCAACATATCTGGTCTGTCTGTCCTTCCTCTCTGCCATGGAACCACAGAGAAAGCTCGCAGTTCTCCTTTCTAGTCAAAGAGAGCAGTGTTAAAGGAAAGCCCCTTTGCCACCTTCTCTTCTGCTTTGGATGTGATGTCTGGTGGTTTGGCAGCCATCTTGTGATCATGAGGGGACAAGCTAGGAGAAGAAAGACAGTGCTCTGAGTGGGGCAGAGTGGGAGGAAAAAAAAGGGCCTGGGTCCTTGATTATATCATCAAGTGATCAAATCGACCTCTGGATTCTGAAATAAACCATAAACATGCTTTTGTTTAAACCACGTAGATTTTCTTGGTTTAAACAAGAAAAGCCATAAAGCAGCTTTAAAGACTGTAGTTGGTAGAATAATGGGCCCCTAAAGATGTTCACGTCCTAATCTCTGGAAACTGTGGACATATTACACTGCAAGGGAGAATCAAGATTGCAGGTGGAATCTCAATTGCTAATTAACTGACCTTGAGATGGGAGATTATCCTGGATTACGTGGATGGACTGATATAATCACAAGAGTCTTTATAAGTGAAAGAAGGATGTAGGAGGGTTAGAGTCAGAGAGAGAATTGAAGATGCTCCGCTGCTGGCTTTGAAGATGGAAGAAGGGGCCAGGTGCCAAGGAATGCAGGCAACCACTAGAAGTTGGGAAAGTCTAGGAACAGACTCTCCTTTCGCGTCTCCAGAGGGAATGCAGCCCTGCTGACACCTTGATATTTAGCTCAGTGAGACCAGTTTCAGGCCTCTGACCCTAGAACTATAAGGTAATACATTTTTGTATTTCAAGCCACTGGATTTGTAGCATTTATTACAGCAGCAATAGGAAACGAATCCACAGATACTCCTCATTCATCTGGACACATCCCAGCCTTCTTTTCCTCAAGCCCTTCACCCATCACCATCCTCTCCCTCATTTTTGCCACTCAATCTCCACTTCCAGAGGGTTCTGTCAGAACTCTGCCTGCTCCGTACCTCCGTCACATCCACCATTTCTTGTTAAAGTGAACGTGGGGCAGGGCTGAACTTCATGGACAGGCCACCAGGGCACTAGTGCTGCAGGGCCCTGTGCTTGGAATTTGATGCTCTGAGGTCCCTTTCCTGAAATTCTTAATAATTTTATTTCTGAATCTGTGCTTTGTAAGGGAAGCCCCATGGGACAGTGAGGCATGCGCCAAGGGCTTGGAGTCTGCTTGAAACTCCCACCTCCAGCCATCTGCCCGCCCCCCTGGGAGAGGGTCATAGCCACCGGCTCCTGCACCCCCTGGCCCTCTAGATACTACTTGGCCTCCCGCTTCCCACCTGCATCCAGTATCCACTGGAGGGGGCTGGACACAGGGAAGGCACAAGGGAGGGTGGAGGTCAGTTGCTCACCTCATGGGATCTTGGTGAAGAGTATGGCGGTGACCATTCCCACCCCAGGTGTGTCTGCCGGGTGGTCAGAGGCTGCAACTCAGCCGAAGCGGGCCTCTTGCCTGCCCCCCATCCAGGTACCAAGAGTCACCATCTTGAATTCTTAGTACTTTTTGAAGAAGAAGCCCTGAGTTTTCATCTTGCCCTGAGCCCCTCAAATTCCGTAGCCATTCCTGACATGGAGTCATTCTTTCTCTCCAAGATTGAGCCATCCACCTCCAAACACCATCACTCCCCTGTGTTTTCAGCTTTTTCCCTGTGCAGGCTTCTTCCCATCACCACGTATAGCTGTCCTGGTCCCTTCCATCTGCAGACAACCAAAGCTTCCTTCCACCAGCTTCCGACTTGCCCTCTCTCTGTCTCTCTGTCTCTGTCTCTATCTGTCTCTGCCTCTGTCTCTGCCTCTGCCTCTCTGTCTCTGTCTCTCTGTCTCTCTTTCCCTCCCCAGACACAGTTCTCGAAAGCAGTCTCCTCTCTCTGTCTCCGCTTCCTTAGAGCACACCCGCGCCTCAGCCGTCTCTGTGCAGAAGCACTTCTGCCAGGAGCCTGCTTCCATGGACAGCAGCTACCAGGTCCAGGCCTGTTTCACTCCCTAGCGTCCCCCGGCACCAGCCTCTCCCTTGTTCTTGAGGCTCTGCCCTTCTTGGTTTTCTTGCTGCAGGCTGTTTGCTCCTGGACAGGCTCCCTTCCCAGTTCTCCTCTGCCCTCCCTGAAATGTTGGGAGTCCTCAGGGCCTGTCCTGGGCCACACACACACACACACACACCCCACGGGGAATCTTATCTGTGTCCATACAGATTGTAGCCAACCACAACCTTTACCAAATCTAGACCAGAGTTTCATGGGGTAGGGACTGTATTGCCCAGCACCCAGCATAGTGCCTGGCCCACAGAGTGTGCTCAAGAAACATTGGTTCAGTGCATAAATGAATGATGCCTTCTAAATATGTCTCCCCAGCCCAGATCTCTCCCCTGAACTCCAGACCCATATAGCCAAATGCTATTGGGTGTATCTCAATTTCCACATCTCCCACCCAGATATGTCCCCTGTAGTAAACATCGCTATCTAATGTGACATCAGTTATGATATATTGTATGAAATATTGTCCTTGATTTCTCATCAGGTCTCCCATGCCTCTCCCACTAGAAGGTAGACTTCACGGGGACAGAGATTTTGGGTTGGTTGGTCCACCGCTGTACCGTGGGGCTTTAGAACAGAGTGTGGTACGTAGTAGGTGCTCAAGAAATACTCTGAACAAATGAATGGATCTCCACATGGATGTGCCCACATCTCAGACTCAGTGTATCCTCAGCTAAGTTCTTCATTACCCTCCGCACACTGTCTCCTTCCGAGTCCTGGTCTCAACTGCTAAATCGAAAGAGTGAGCATTACTCCAGGCGGCGCCCTCCTCCCTCTCTACCGAGATTCGGGCGCTGGCACCCTGTTCCTAGCACCCCATCTCCCTTTCCTGCTCACGGTACCTCCTGGCTTGCATTAGCCAGAAGTGTGGCACACATACCCCTGGGGTAATCCAGGTGGGGGACACAAACCCCTGGGGTCCCTAAGATGATTTGAAGTGGAACATGGGTGTGGAGTAAAAGGACATCGAGAAAGTGATCCCTTTTTCAATTCTCTTTCTCTTCATCCGACTAGCCTTCCACAGGCTACAGTATCTAGCTAGAGTTTCATAATTCGTTTTTGGTGTCATTGTTTTTGTTTTTATAGTTCATTTATGTTTATGAAAAGGAAGGCTGGTTTTCCATTTGTGATGAAGACAATGTTTCTTCTAAAAATAAAATTCTTTAAATAAAACAAGTAAGTCAATATGAAGAAAAAGTTTAAAAGTGATGGAGGGCTTCCCTGGCAGTACAGTGGTTAAGAATCCTCCTGCCAATGCAGGGGACATGGGTTTGAGCCCTGGTCCAGGAGGATCCCACGTGCTGCGGAGCAAATAAGCCCGTGCGTCACGACTACTGAGCCTGCGCTCTAGAGCCTGCGAGCCACAACTACTGAGCCCACGCACCACAAACTACTGAAGCCCATGCGCCTAGAGCCTGTACTCCGCAACGAAGAGTAGCCCCCACTCGCCGCAACTAGAGAAAGCGCGCACGCAGCAACCAAGACCCAACGCAGCCAAAAATAAATTAATTAATTAATTTTTTAAAAGTGATGGACAAACACGTAAATCTGGAAGAAATAAATTGTGGCAGTGTGGATGAGGGACAAACGTTTGGAAGATGTGGGTCTACAGACCAGAGCCCAAACCCTTTGCAGCCTGGCTCCTGGCTCCTCCCTTCTCATTCCTTCAGCCCATACTACTCCCCAGACACATGACCTTGTGTGATATAACGACTTATAATAAGAAATATATATTTGGTCTTCGTCCCTGTTCCTGGCACAGAGCTCCTAAAACCCTCAGAATTTCCTAAGCGACAAGAGCATTAAATGTCTTTTGTTATGTTAATGAGGTGAGCTTTGGGAAGCCCCTAGGTCACCTAAGGATGGAGGCTGGTTGCCAGGGGAACCAACCTTACGATTAGAGGGGAACTGACAGTCCCTCCCTTCAACCTCCTGGGAAGGGAGAGGGGCGGGAGATTGCGTTCAATCACCAATGGCCAATGATATGATCATTCTAGCCTATATGATGAGGCTGCCACAGAAACTCAAAGGGACAGGGTTGGGGGG